TAAAAATAAGCCCATGGAATGAAGAATTCTGACCATATACACTTGCTTTTATTTTTCAAAGAATGGGCTTTGCAAATTTGGAGCAGTACTGACCATTTCAAGGAAACTCTCAAATAATGACATTGTTAACATATTGAGAAATAAGTTCCACTGACTTCAGTGGAACTACAGATTCACTGATGATGTTCCATTCAAGAGATTAAATTTCCCCATTCTTCTGCAACTTTCTGAACATTTTCAGGTCTGTGTTGCATGACACATTCATGCAACTCAAGTTGATTTTCTAAACCCTGGTTTATTTAACCATTTTTTCCAGATTTGAAGAATGAACTGATCTATAAACTTAGAACATGCCTGGTAAATTTATACACAACTGACAAAGCTAATATATAGCTGGCTAATTTACTGTGTTGCAAAAAAAAATCAAAATTGGGAAAAATTAGGTTTCTCTCCTGCTATTTAGTGATTGAATGGATTTTTAAAGTTCTGATTTTGTAGTGTTACCAGCAAAGTGTTAGAACATAAAAATATTCTTTGGTGCAACTAATTAATGTAGATGCATGTTTTGAAACATGCATCTACATTAATGTAGATGCATGTTTTGAGGTGAAGAACAGAGCTTGGAAGCAAACATTGCAAAAGATAATGCTGTATCTGAATCAGATTAGGGCTATAAATAGGGTAACTGAATATAAATAATTGTTCTCTGCCATAGTTGTTGCTGGCATGGGAACCTTTCTAGACTACTTGGTTTAGAATGCCTGTAGGGCAGAGGCCCCAACCTTTTGGGCACCAGGGGACTGATTTCCTGGAGAAATGTTTTTGTGCAGACCGGAGGGGGCATGGTTTTGCCTGCTGCCTGCATCCCTTCACTTGTTTGCTGGCATGCCGTGGCCCAGTGCTGGTCCATGGACCGGGGGTCGGGGACCCCTGCTGTAGAGTGTTTTTGTTTAGAGGATAATATTGTGGCAAAGCTTCGAAGCAGAATTTTTTTTGAGGAATTAATTCAAAAATTTGAAATGTGCTGCTAGTTTCTAAATTATCAAAATCCAAATGCTATTTAATACATGCCTTTGAATTTCAAGGTTTTGTTTAAAATTACTCTAATGTAAAATCACAAACCTACATGTTAAATTTATCTCTTCTCCTTTCACCCAGGTTTACCGATTAGTTTTTCATTTTTGAATGGTCTTTAGTTTTTGAATTTGCATATTTTGGAACTGGTCTACATGGCCAGTCAACAATTCTTTTAGGAATGTGATTGTTTCATTCTGGATGGCTGTTGTGGGCAAGGACAGGCAAGTGATGAAGCATGTATTGCAACATGACAATGCAAATTTAACCCTTAAGATACTTATGCATAATATCATAATGCAAGTATAAAACAGAGCTTGTGTTGTTATAACACAGCACTCATTTTGACACCATATAGACTCCCATAGTTACACTATTTTCTCCAGGATTCCTATCCCTCTTAATTCAGTAGAGTTTTTCTTGTGGACAAAGACCATAACCATATATCACTCAGGCATATGATTTCTCAAACTTGTAATTTTCCTTTTTCTTCTGGGTTGTTTCCTATGGTAGGATTTTTTTTCTGCTTCCAATTCTCAGAAAGTTGGTCAAAGTTCATACTGTGTAGAAGGTATGTTACAGACCTTGACTGGCTTGTTATTAGAGTAGTAGAAGGCTTCTGCCTAATCTCTCAGTCAGCAAAACACAAAAAATATGTTTGTGATCATGTGCAGAGCAGGGTGAAAGTAGTTTAGAGTTATCAGTCCTAAGTATTTTTATTACTAGCAACTAGCTCTTTTGCTTTCCTCTAGTTTTATGTTGGCTGTAGGATAAAGAAGTCAAAATATGCCACTTTTACTGCTTTACAAAAATACCTTAACAAAAAAAATTAAAATAGCATGTTTTAAAAAGAGGATGGAGTTACCAAAATAAAAACAGTAGAATAAATAGCAGTGGGAAAATTAACAGTATATATTTACAGCAGAAGTTAATCAAATGTAAGCAAGAATGATTCCCATATATGCAGTATCGCAAATGTATATACATTTACACTTTGCCTTATAAAGGGACATAAATCTTTATAAATATAGTAAGTTATTCAGAAGTTGAAAATGGGAAGTTAGAAAACAATTAGCTTCTCCCTTTAATCTTTTGTCTATTTTATTCTTTTTTTATTTTTAGTTAGTGTCAGATTTGCTAAGTTTTTCAACATAGACAAATACGTAACATTACAATGAAAACTTTAATACTAAGTAATCGGTTTAAGGCAGAAACCATTTGGTACAACAAATATTTTGATTAAATTTGTAGCAGTTTTTTAAATGTTATATTTAGTCCTGGATGCGAAGCTAAATAATCTCATGCCTATTTACACTGACATGATAGTTAATACTGATATTATACCTTATTTTTTGTATCTTTAATGGTTTAAGTTATTTAACCTTAGAGTACTAAGATTATTTAGTTAGTGCTGTACCAATGCCATTGCATCAAATAATGTAATGCATTTTGTAAGTTTTTTGATAATATATATAAATATATACTACTATTACCAGTGCTATTGATTCAAATGTAGAGGTACTTCAGAAACAAAGGCCTAAGTGATTCCTTTTTGAGAAAAGGTGTATGTTCTTCAATATATTTTCACTGGGATCTTTATTTGCCAGTTTTAGAAACCAATTGGGAAATTGGGCTTCTTTAAATTTATTGATAGTAATTTTTGCTCTCTATTTTCAAAGATTCTAATACAATAAATCTACATATAATTGTAGATGTCTGAGTAGTTATGCAATATTGAAAAAGATAACTCATTATTTTTTTTTCCTCCTTGGTAATATTTGCTCATTTAGAAGAAGTGATATTTTGCTAGTGGAAATAATTGTTTGTAAATGTAGAAAAAGTATGAATCCTTTTTGTAATGAAAGAGTTATTATATAAATTTAGTATATCATCTTTGTTTAACAAGTCATATTTGTAAAAGAAACCCAGTCATACAGAACTTGTGATAAACACATGAGGGTATGTATTGAAATCACCAGTTTCCATTAATAAGAAAATTAAGTTAAGCATATTCCTGTTTCTTTTGCCATGTTTCTAGAAATAGTTTAGTAAATAAACTTAAGATTTTTATTTTTTTTTTAAAAGCCTATTGAACATGAAGTCTCACATTTCAAAACCCACATTTGTCAATTTTTGTACCTGGCAGCTTCACTAAAATAACATGTCTTATTTTCCTTAAGAACTCTGTTGATATACTATTTAGTCACCTAGACTGAACTTTATTTAGAATTTATTTAGAAGGAACAAACAAATGGCCAATTCAGTTCTATATTGGACATTACAGTTTGTATATATACTGGACATTTTGTATAAATATAGAAACTCATACAAAGAAAATAAATCTGGGAGTGCTCACAGTAATTGGAAATGTACCAAGAGGTATTTTACTTCTGCTTAAAAACTTCAGGAAAGATTGGAAAAGTTTAAGGAGCAATAGGAGGATTTTTCTAATCCACTAACATTGTAATTTTCTAAGCCACTAACATTATAATTTTTATCCCTTGTTTACCATGTTTGGCTTTTTCATATTAGACATGATCAAAACCTAATTTTTCTAGAATAATATTCATAAATCTCAATGTTGACTTTCTACTGAAACTAATTTGCAAGAGAAAAGAAAATATAGTACCAAAATAATTGTAGTTGGTAATATTTTGTAATTTACAAAGGGTGTATGATTTCTAATGTTGATAAATATTGTGGATCTACTAGGAATATTTCACCAAACTAGAAGGATCTCCTTAACTCTTCTTTAAGGGAAGAACAAAACGGAAATCATTGTTTTGACTAAAGTAAGCCAAGATTCTTGCAAAAAGAATAACGGAGCTGAATGCTGTTTAGTGAAGTTAATTCAAATGCCCCATGTATCAGTAGTGGAATTTTGCTGGTGGAGGAGTTCTTCAGAGAATTCTTGATGTATTGATTATGTGGTTGCCAACAATTTCCATCCTCCTTTCCAGAGTTGAATCTGAGAAAATGGTGGAAATTGTTGCTCAAATAGCTAAAATGATCCCTATTCACTTTTAGAAATTCAAAATAAAAATGTAGTGATGCGCCACAACTCTTGCAGGGCAGATTATAATAGTTGATAACAGATATTATATCATTGTTCTTTCAACAGGTTTCAATATCAGAGGTATGAATTACATTAAGCTTTTTGAAAAATTAACAGTAATATGATATTCTAAAGTGCAGAATTTAATTGTTCAGTTCAATTCTATTATAATTGTTCAGTTCCTTCCTATTATAAAAAGTAAGAAAAATAAAATGCAAGTAAATGCCAGTTAAAAATACCATTGCTGAAATATTGAATGACTGATTCTATTTTTTGTTTTAAATTGTAACTGGATAAATTAGGTTTAGGAATATTTTTATCCATTTATAAACTGCTTCCATGGAGTAGCTTGCTTCCAGAAATCTGAACAGCATCCCCCCTGAAGAAAACTGTTTCAGAGGTTTTGATGGGTGAGAGGTTGGTGTGGAATTCAAGCTTGCATTAAGGATAATAGAATTGTTCATATGGTTTTATGTATTCTATAAATTTCTATAAAGTTTTGGAAGTTGATAGCATAGAAATGGTGTAAATAAAGAAGTAACATTTTATAATTATAGCATCTAAATTAATAATTTTCTTTAGCTGAGGCTGAGAAAATGTATGTTTCAGCTTGAGCTAGATCTCCTAATGAATATTACTAGTCTTTTTAGTGAAAATTAGACTATTAAGGAGAGATTAGTGAATATTACTAGTCTTTTTAGTAGTAATGAATATTACTAGTCTTTTTAGTGAAAATTAGACTATTAAGGAGAGATATAAAATTGAGAGATATAAAAATTAAGGAGAGATATAAAATTGAGAGATATAAAATTGAATTTTTATGAAAGGAATACATTTCTCAATGAGCTAATCTCAATATTTTTCTTTGCAGGTGTGGAGGCACGGTAGCTGCAATCCTGACATGTCCTCTAGAAGTTCTGAAAACACGATTGCAATCATCTTCTATTACTCTCTACATTTCTGAAGTTCAGTTAAATACTGTGAATGGTGCAAGTGTTAATCGAGTTTCCCCACGGGCTTTCCATTGCTTTAAGTGAGCACCTATTTCTTCCTATTTCTTTTTCTCTTAAATAAGGAAGACTTGGTAGAGAACAAGTTTAGGTGTTTTATAGATATTTTGTACCTCCCATCAACTCAAGCCATTTAGTAAAATGGCTAAAGATTATGGACATGGAATCTAACTTTGAATAGTATCAAATTACCTATTACCAGTCCAGAAATTAATTTTAAGTATCTTACAAGAACAAATTCTAAAGGGCAAAATTAACAAATGTACTCTCAAGTGAAGTTCAGCTGTCCATATTATCATCTTTATCTTGATACCTACTCCTTTAGTTTGCAAAGTAGTGTTTCACAAATTTTTGATATTGTGGTTGATATTCACTTTTGAAATCTTGTGGAAAATGATTTCTTCAGTCATAAGAATTATTTCTGTTTTATTTATTTACATGGTATATGTCAAGTCCAGGAACTAAAGACCTTGGAAAACTAGCCAGCATTATCCTTTATTTAAATCCTTTATTTAGGATACGTGATCCAACTGAACCAGCCAAAAACCATCCATCTTAATGTTGCTGAATTAAAAGGAAAGCTGTCTGATTACTGTGTTATAATGTATTTATGGATAAATCAGAAGTTGCCACCTTAATTTCCTTCACGTTGCTATTTTGAATATTAAGAGTGGCATGTGCTAGATATCTTGGCTTTTGTGGATTTCAGCAATTAGTTTTAAAATAATAATAACAACAATTATTGTTGTAGTAGTAGTAGTTGTAGAGTTGGAAGGGACCTTGGAGGTCTTCTAGTCCAACCCCCTGTTCAGGCAGGAAACCCTATATCATTTCAGACAAATGGTTGTCCAGTCTCTTCTTAAAAACTTCCAGTGTTGGAGCATTTACAACTTCTGGAGTCAGGTTGTTCCACTGATTAATTGTTCTAACTGTCAGGAAATTTCTCCTTAGTTCTAGGTTGCTTCTCTCTTTGATTAGTTTCCATTCATTGCTTCTTGTCTTGCCTTCAGGTGCTTTGGACAATAGCTTGACTCCCTCTTTTTTGTGGCAAATCCTGAGATATTGGAACACTGCTATCATGTCACTCCTTATCCTTCTCTTCATTAAACTAGACATACCCAATTCCAGCAACTGTTCTTTATATGTTTTAGCCTCTAGTCCCCTAATCATCTTTGTTGCTTTTCTCTGTACTCTTTCTAGAGTCTCAGCATCTTTTTTACATCGTGGTAATCAAAACTGGATGCATATTCCAAGTGTGACTTTATCAACGGGTTATAAAGTGGTATTAACACTTCATGTGTTCTTGATTCTATCCCTCTGTTAATGCAGCCTAGCACTGTGTTGGCTTTTTTTGGCGGCTGCAGCACACTGCTGGCTCATATTTAAATGATTGTCAATTAGGACTCCGAGATCCCTCTCACAGTTACTACTACTGAGCCAGGTACCACATATACTGTATCTGTGCATTTGGTTTTTCTTGCCTAAATGTAGAACCTTACCTTTTTCACCATTGAATTTCATTTTGTTAGATAGCGCCCAATGTTCAAGTTTGTCAAGATCTTCCTGTATCTTAAGCCTATCTTTTGGAGTGTTGGCTATTCCTGCCAGCTTGGTGTCATCTGAAAATTTGATGAGTTCCCCATCTATCCCCTCATCCAAATCATTGATGAAGATGTTGAAGAGCACTGGGCCCAGAACAGAGCACTGGGGCACCCCACTACACACTTCCTTCCATGTAGATGCAGTTCCATTGAGGACCACATGCTGAGTATGGCTGGTCAGCCAGCTATGAATCCATCTGGTGGTGATGCTGTCTAGGCACATTTTTCTATCTTATCAAGTAGTAGATTGTGATCTACTTTATCAAATGCCTTACTGAAATCCAAGTAAATTATATCCACAGCATTCTTCTGGTCCAGTAATTGTCACCTGGGCAAAAAATGCAATAAGAGTTGTCTTCATGATCTGTTTGTGGCAAACCCATGTTGGCTTTTGGTAATGACTTTGTTTTCCTCTAGGTCAGTGGTGGCGAACCTATGGCACGCATGCCAGAGGCGGCACTCAAAGCCCTCTCTGTGGGCACTCACACATTGTCCCAGCAGAGTTCGACAGAATAGCGAGCACGTGGTGTTTGGAAGCGACAGGGCAGGAAGTAAGCGAGCAAGTGGCATTGGCCCCCCCCCAGGGATGCCCCGCAGATGGCGAGGGACTGGCCCCAGCCATGCTCACCCAGTCTGCCGTGACCATACAGCCATGCCCCCCGCCCCCCTGAGGGCACCACAATGCTGATGCAGCCCTGGCACTTTGCGATAAATAAGTGGGTTTTGGGTTGCAGTTTGGGCACTCAGTCTCTAAAAGGTTCGCCATCACTGCTCTAGGTGTTCGCTGATTCGTTGTTTGATTATCTTTTCCAGAATCCTCCGAGGTATTGAGGTCAGGCTGAGAGGTCTGTAGTTTTCTGGGTCCATTTTTGTTCCTTTTTTGAAGATGGGAACTATTATCAGCTCTTTTCCAGTCCTCTGGTAGTTTCCCAGTGCTCCAGGATCTTTGAAAGATATAGTTCAGTGGTTCTGAGATCACATCTGCCAGTTGAAGACAGATGTTCTGCTTTCTCCCTGTTGCTTGTCACCTTAATGCCACTTTCTCCCATTAATGGTCCAATCATTTTTTTAACTTTTTCTTTTACAGGTCGAAAGAAGCTTTTTTTTTTACTTTTGTCACAAGCCTTAGTTCATTTTTAGCCTTAGCTTTCCCTACTTCATCTTGGAGCCTCAGGCTACTTGCTGATATTCTGCCTTTGTTATTTCCACTTTTTATACTTGTCTCTTATCTTTCAATTTATCAGATAGTTCTTTATGCAGCCATGCTGGTTTCTTTTGAGAGTGTTATTTTTCTTCTTTGTTGGTATTGTGTTAGACTGGGCTTTTATAATTTCACTTTTCAAAATTTTTCAAGCTGCTTGAGTTGTTTTTCTCTTGAGGATTCTTATCCATGGAATCCTTTCGAAGCTCTCTCTAAGTTTATTGAAATTAACTCTCCTAGAGTCCAAGACTCTAGTTTGACTATGTTCTATTGCTTGTGCTTACATAATGTTGAATTCCAATATTGCATGATCACTCCCCTTCCAAGGTTCCTGTGGTTTCAACACCTTCTATCGTTTCATCTCTGTTAGTGAGAATTAAGTTCAATATGGCTGATCCCCTAGTTCCCTTCTCTACTTTTTGGGAGACAAAGTTGTCTGCTAGGTTTGTCAGGAATCTGTTTGATCTTTCGCTTGGTGCAGACTTTGTCTCCCAGTTGATTTCAGGGTAATTAAAGTCCCCCTTTACTATTGTGATATGCTTCCTACGTACCTTAGTTAGCTGACTAGCAAAACATTCATCTATTTCCTCTGGTTGGGTGGGTGGCCTATAGTATACACCTATGGCAATATCATTTTTTCCCCTTTTATATTGACCCAAATGTATTCAAGACAGTTTTCATCATTGTAGTGCTCTATTTCTGTAGAGATGTAGTTATTTCTTATATAGAGAGCAACTCCACCTCCTCTTTTATTTGGTCTGTTTCTTTTAAATAATTTAAATCCTTCTAGCTGTGTATTCCATTTGTGGGTTTCATCCCACCAAGTTTCCGAAATGGCAACAATATCATATCTGCCCACATTTAGCTGAATTTCTAATTCACCGTTTATTGGTCATACTCGGTGTGTTGGTGTATAAACATTTGAGTCCTTTATGACTGACCTTAATAACTAGAAACAATCTGTGATATTTCTAAAAAGGTTCTCCTTTCTCAACTAAATGTTTTATTTTTGTTACTGAAACATGTAATTATTTTGGTTTATTCATAAACTCATTTGGTTTTATAAACGTCTTCAGCTGCAGCCAATATGTCTCTTCTATGTCTACAACCTGGAGATTTACAATAGCTTTTTAAGGTGTTCAGAAATAAGTATCTCTGTTCTTTAAATCCTGATTTTCCACCCTGAGTAAGGAGATTTAAAAGTATTTTGAAAGGATCTTTCACATTGGTGGAATGTGAGTAAAATTAGTTAAGGATTTCTTTCTGTTTGTATTCAAATGCATGTAATATAAAGCCTCCTTCAGATATTTTCTCCCAATTTTAAAAAGCCAATGACTTAATAAGTGGGAATTTTGGTAAGTAGGATTCGGTTTGCATGTATATCAATGTTCCTGGTCAGTCATTATCTCAGTAGGTTGAGTCTATTAATAAAGCCAATAATGATTTACCATTTCATGCGATTAAGACAGCAATCCATAAATGATTGGCAGTCTTCTGTAACTAGCAAAGATAGTTCAGTTAAGCTAGGAATTAAATGTTATATTGGGCGTCATTTTGAAGTTTCCTAGAATTCCTCAAACTCTGAAGTTTGAAAAAACTTTCCAAAATTTACAGATGAATTATATTTAATTTGAGAGAAATACATGAAGAGCATATATGTATCAACTATAGTTAAATTAACAGTAGAAAATTAATATTCTTGTTGATCTTGCTTGTCTTGTATGCTGATACACCTGATGGCAAAATCATACCTTAACTCTCTAAATAATTAAAGGTGCATGATCATTCAGGAATGCAGTTGCATAACATATTTCAGAGCTCTGAATTTTGATCATGTGGATTAAAAACATTGTGGAAACCAAGTTTGTTTATATTCAGTTCTTATAAGAGGAAACTTCATATTTTGACTGTATAATTAGAGGAGAAATTGGGAGGGCCTTTTACTTCCAATATTGTTACCAAGAATTAATACTGACATTTGAAACTACTATAATTTGTTGCATAATGCTGTTGGGCTGTTCGATTTAAACAGTTACAAGTGAAGTGGTTTTTTAAAAAACATTGTTTGCAGTTTGCTCAATCTTCATGTCATCAACCTGTATTTCTATTTGTACAAGAAATACTTTAAAGACATTCTGATAATACAGAACACTATTGATAAATATGCTCCAGTGTATAGCATGTTTATATTAGATAATGTTAATTTTCTAAACTAGCTCTGAAAATATTCAGGAAACATAGTATTTTAACAATTAAAACTAAATAACACTTCAGTGGCATTGTATGGGTCACCAGTAATAAGCTGGACAAATATTAAAAGGTGTTCTTTACAAAGCTGACTGGTTCAAACAAAGTGAAGCATTTAATCAATTGTTTCCTGCAAAGCTAAGTGAAGCTGGTCCAGGGGATTTCCTATCTTGTCTTCACAGCGCTGAACATGAATATTTTCTCTGCTTCATGGGCAAAGCCCAGAAGTGTTCTCTTTCTTTTACATACATGTGCACATGCAAACACCTCAGAAAACCATCCCACACAGTTGATAGTACTGATTGATTTATAGCAGTGCTGGCGAACCTTTTAGAGACCGAGTGCCCAAAAACTGGCCCCGCCCCATCCTGCCCCCATCCCACTTGCCTTGCCCCGCCCGTCCACAGGGCCATTTGCCTGCATGGCCTGCCGCAGATCGCTCAGGTGAACCAGCAACGGCATGGCCACGCCCTCTGCCTGTGCACCACAGCATCATCTGTGTGTGACGGGGCGCGAGGGCGGAGTCTTGTCCCTGCTGCCCGGCTGCCAAGTCCTTGGCTGCACCGCTCCTCAAGGGCTGTGCTCGGGGCGATTCTCCTCTGACGAGGCTGCAGGGGGAGGCGGGTCTGGGGCGACAGCACAAGTGCCCACAGAGATGGCTTTGAGTGCTGCCTCTGGCATGCGTGCCATAGGTTCGCCATCACTGTTCTATATACCATACAGAAAGTTGAGGTAAAAAATGTAATTGCCAGAGACATGCAATGCTGTAGGTTGCTAGTTTTGCAACATCACAGCTTCTCCCTGGATCACTGGCATTCTGAAGTGGTATTGAGTTATATTTCATATAGAAACCACAACATTTGTATAACATATTCTGTAGACTGTATTAACTGTTCACTGGAACTCTCCATCTGATCTTAAATCTACCTTATGGTATCATATATGTGCTTCTTTCACAGGATGATCTTACAAAATGAGGGTCCTCGGTCATTTTTCAGAGGACTAGGTCCTAACTTGGTAGGCGTGGCTCCTTCCAGGTAAACTGAAAAATACGTTTATTTGGATTATTTCATCTGATAATAGAAATTTGTAATGCTTTTCATTATTTTGAAGTCACTGGACAATATATTCCTTTTTTAGAAAGCTATTTCTCTATCCTTATTAGCACTATTCAGTGACAATTATGGAACTTTCAATTGAAGTATGATGCAAACTCTCATTTTACTCTTTATAATTCATCTTATGAATTCTGGCAAAAATGCCAACCATGTAAACTTGCGTCATACTCTCAAGTTAAAATACACTATAATTGGAAGCCATATAAACAACAATATGTATCCTAATATCTGCTATTGTATTTTTTTCTAATTTGAGAATTGAAATTTTCTGTAAACGTCATTTATTCTTAACTATATAACTGAGATATATACATACATACATATATAGTTAATTTTAATTTTACAATGCTTAATAAAATAGGTACATGCCATTTTATTTAGGATAATTCAAGTAAAATTTTGTTTCATGTAATCAGAATATCAGTTCCCTATAATTCACATTGTACAAATAAGCTCAGACTTGTAGAGTGCTAGTCAATATAGAATTTTGTGTAGATGTTAGGTTCGTTATCCCTTTATGGAAGATAATAAATGTGTGGAATGAACTATGAAAAAGAAACTGTAATGGCAGAGGAGGAAACATGCCAAGAAACAACTATTCTGTGAAAGAGTCATATGCCTACCTGCCCAGTTTGAGTACATACTACAGCATGCTAAAATGGATTATCCTCTGAGTTAACTTCAGTCATTGTTTGCAGGAAAGAAGAAACTTGAATAATCCAGGCAGGTCCAATTTGCAATTTATCCACTTGTGTCAAAGCTTTTAGACACCAAGAGTTGATTCAACATGATTCCTTTTAGATGCTTGCATTGCAGACAAATAATAATATTTTAGTCTTGTTATGGATATGGCTGTACTTAAGGTTCTCATAATACTATGAAAGGACTACTTTTGTAGTATCATAAACTGCCATCAGATTAATAAAAATTATGTACACTTGACAGATTTAAGTTCACCATGTCCTTTCACTGGGTGTATATGTTTAATAAAGATTTCAGTAGAGGATTAAAGTTGTGATTTTGGCTGTTATTGTTTGTGAATGAATTTTAAAAGAAATGTAAACCTTAGCCAGAAGTAAGGCAGATTACTTATTAATGAAATTCCCTAATAAGCAGTTAGTTTATGTAATCCATTATACACTGCATTTGACAAAAAGTAGGCAAAAAATAATCCTTTATATGAGCTGGAATGTACACATAAGTAAGATACAAACAACACTTGAATAGAATATTAAAAATAGAAATCAGAAGGTTGGAGAGAAATGGAAATTAGCCTAAAAATATATTATCCAGTTCGTATGTTTCTCTCACCTACGAGTACAAAGATAATTGTGGACTTTCTCCCAATTTTTGTATTATGCTTGTCCATTTGCTTATGTATTCTTGGGGTTATGAATAAATTCTAATCCTTTTCTTTTCAAGTCATCAACCTTGTACAAATACATTTATGTTTCATTTAAACATTGCTGAGTAGCTTTAACAGCACTTCCCTATTTGAATAAGACATAATGAGGCCTGTTTTATAACATATATAGCATACACCACTGATTTCAAATTCTCCGTTGCTAACTACATCACGTAAAACAACCACTTTATCACATTTTGTGAAAGGCCACATGTTTGCAAAGCTAATGGCATTAACTTAATGTTCTGATGTGTGAACTCATTTATTCAGATCATAACTCCTGTTGATAGCATTTCCCAAACTACCAGTACAAAGATGTTATGGCAAAATAATAATTTGGTTTATTCTTGATTATTAAGTTCATTTTAAAAGTCTATATAAATTAAACTAATATCATTAAATGTTCAATGTTGTTATAGTAATATACCCAACTATTGGACATAGTATAATACTAGTCCCTAGCATTCATGTTTTAATACTTCAGTGGTATGACCAAATACTTCCTTTTTTAAATATTGAAAGTTTAGAGTAGCAGTTCTTAAACTTAAATGAACATTCAGAAAATGCAAGGACCATCCAGTTACACACACACACACACACACACACACACACACACACACAAATAATCTTAATACAATTTACTAAAGAATACTATTCAATAGAAATCTCTGAATATTAAGTCTACAGGTATCTTGCTTAATAACTTCTCATTTTTTGTTGCTTAAATCTCTTATTACTCTTTTCTCTTTGAATTGCTTTTAATCAGACATAGTTCCACTTAGCTGAACATATGTGAACCTCCAGAATGTTAACTGCACTGGACACCTCTTAGTCACTTGAAATTGAGTGTTCATGAGCATTTATATTATCACTTGCCTGCATTGATGAACCAATTTTCTGACACTGACCAATTCTCACAAACCAGCTGATGGGCAGAGAGCACTTGGGGAGGCAGAAGTAGAGGTGGAAAGCAAGAATTTACTAGCTATCAGTGCATGTGAAGAAGTGAAGCTGAGGTGGTGGATTCTCATCAGTTCACTCACATTAGCTGAGAAACTGCACCTCCACACCCAAGAAACACTACTGTGGAACATTGTTTCTTACCGTAACATAACTATTAATATTGGTCCACTGGCAGAACTATGTTGTGGTTAACTGTTTTTGTTCTACTTGTAGAGCGCTATATTTTGCAACTTATTCCAAGTCCAAAGAAATTATGAATAACATATTTGAGCCAGATTCTACTCAAGTACATATGACCTCAGCTGGAGTGGCAGGTAAGGATTTTTGAATTCTTGCTTTAATCTCTTGAAAAGCTATTAATGGAATGGCTGCAGTAATAAATGAACCCTAAAGAAGTAATGGAAATAGACAGTTCAGAATATAATGAAAATACAATGACTAAAATACTGTATATGAAAATCAACTGATTATTTGTGAATGCTTGCTACAAGCATTAACAGAAGATTGAGTTAGAAAGTATTTTATTTTCTTCATAACTCCAAGTTAGTGAATCATGTAGACACAGTCTGTAGGACTATTTAGTGATTTGGAGTAAGGGAAAAGTGACGTAGCATGCAGGAGCATCACATTTCCATTAACTCTTTAAAAAAGTTGTATTATTTCCTGGGCTTAAAAAACGTAGCCGCATAATTGCAGGAATATATATATATATATGCTTTTTAAGAGGTGCCAACAGATACATGTGCTCACTTAAGTATGCTCCAGTGTACCATTTGCCTTTGAATCTTGATCAGTGCATAATTCTATCAAGCTAAGCAAATTTTATATGGAATAAAGGAGCCTCTCTTTTTTCCTCTTCATTGACAGACTTTCTGTTGGAAACTTCTTCCTCTGATAAACCACTTGCAATATCTTCTTTGTACACCTTCATAAGAAGGGAGCAAGAAAACAAGCAAAAAATTTTCCTTTTGGCGGTGGCAGGGGGAAGGATATAAGAATAAGTTTCTTAGGAAAGGGAGGAGATTAAAACATATACTCCAACATAATTATTTACATGTTTATTCAAAATTAATAATAGAATTCATGGAGTTGCAATTCTAACAGTTATCTGGTGGTAAACCTCATATGATTTCTGAGGCATCTGATGAGAAAATGTAAGATTGTATTATTTTAGAATAAGTGTTTCAATTAATGGCTTACAAAATACGTTCTATCTATATCAGAGTCCTGACATATTTGGGAGAAACAAAATGATTAATAAGCATAGTTAATCTTCTGTCTTATTGTTTTGGAGAATAGAAGTTTAAATTTTAAGTAGCTCTTTGTTATACATTCTTTTAAAGAAATCCATGGGGAAGGGGCAAGAGTTCAATTGAGAATTCATTTAAAACTGTACATTGATTTAGAGACTGTTACCTGTCTTCTTTTTTTCCCAGAAGTTAAAAAGAAATTAAATTTCTCTTGACAAAGAACAGAGCAGAAGATGAAAATGGATTAGTAATATTTTTAACAGAAAATGACCTTCTGTTTATTACACATTAATAGTTGTTTGCAATTAGCTTAAATATTACCTGGTTGTCATGATTGTTGTAAATATGCATAGAAAATGTAGAAAACTGATTTGTTGCCAAATTTCATATCTACATGCAAATCCAGTTTGCCCATCCAGCAGTATTTCTGATATTATGATTTGAATTATTTGTATGAAAATTCTTTTAAATCTATTTAATTACTTAGTTTTTCATAGCTGTCACTTTGAGACAAATATGCTTTGTTCTACTTTTAATATAAAAAGCTACCTCTTTTGAATTTCTGTGATTCTGTTTTATTACATGAAAGTATCTTGTTCATGTGCTTACAAAAAACTGACTGGCAATAACGTTCAGCTTTGCAGTTACATACCTAAACTACGTTGTTGGTGAAAAAGAACGTTCTGTGCATATTGGCTTTGAAGGTAGCTACTTTCCCTTTGAACTAGCATAGTTTTAGGATGTTAGAAATCCCATAGATTGCATATGAAAAATTCTTAAATACATATAAAACCACTGACATATAATTTTGGCTGTATTGTCACATAACTAATATAAAAAGCATATGAGAAAAATGCTAACCTTGTCATTTTTGCTTTTTAAAATGCTTCCTTATTGTATTAAATTAAACTATTAACAATTCTGCCTGCAAGATACATTTTAGCTTAGAGCTACTAGTACAGATAAGAATGCATGGAACGAAGGAAGAAAGAATTACCATACTAGACTTTCTGCATACAAATATATATTTTAAAATCTTTCACAGAGTATGAATTCTTTCTTAACTTTCTTAATCGTGTGTACTTTTTTTGGTATTTTTTTAAAAGAAATATTGTTTAATGTACAGATAGTAATTTTTACAAAAGCTAAATAAATTTATCAAAGCTTAAAAATTACATGTTTAGTGGCTAGTATGTCTTAATATTTGGTTATCCAATAAGAAATATTTTGTTAGACATTGTGTTATGGATATTAATCAGTGCATTCTTGGTGAGCAAAATGTATATTGACTATTCAGTTCAGGCAAATGTGATGTTACAAATCCAGAAAAATCTTGAACATCTATTCTGATCGCATTACAGAAACTAGATGAAGCACTGTAATTTTATTAAATATGACTCTAGTCATATATATGCTTTTCTATGTAGCAGCCCAACTATAACACTATCAGATACAGACATATGCTAAATACAGATGACATTCTGCCACCATAGTACAGCTGTATGCACATTTTCTGTGGATGGGTAACAGGAACAGCATTATCACGTGAATACCTATTCTACTAAAAGATTTTCTATTCCTGAATCGATACAATACCTTTGCTAATTTGTTGAATATGATATTGCAGCTGTTGTATGATACAGTTCTGTGCAAATTATTTTTAAAATGCTGGCTTAGATTTTTCCAGGTAGCATTGGCCATACATACAACATGTATACTTTAAAGCTTTTGTTTTATGAGAAAATATTTCTCTTACACCAATTCTAATATGAAACAGAAATTATTATTATAATATTATATCACTATGTGTCTAGTTTTGTAAGTCATTGGCTTTTCCCACTAGTCATCTTCTTGATGTATTTTATATAGCAGCAACAGAATTTATAGTTTTGAATTTAAAAAATTCACAATAAATCTGCTTTCATATTTGTTTAAACACCTGTTTTGAAAAAGGAGATAAATAGTTGGACTATGATTTTTCTCATTTTTTCTCTTTGTTAACGCTTTTAATAATGTTAAAACTAGCTTGATTTGAAGTAGCAAAGTTCTGGGATGATTTCATATTCAAAATGACATCTCAGTATTATATTATTTCTGATGACAAGGTTAGCATTTTAATTTTTTTTTAAAACAAAGCCAAAGCAATACTTTGTGTTTCTTTAAAGTTTATAGGTAAGTATTTTATGATATAAAATGGTTAAATTGCTGCAGATGGCAAAAATTTCAGTACTCAGTGCATTTTACAAACCCCTTTTTTAAAATATTTGTGGCCTGTATTCTTTTTTATTTTTTACTGTTGCTAAACTTTTAAAAATTAGATCTCACCTTTTATTAAGTTACAAACCCTTCCAATGGGATTCAGTTTTGCACATGTATCTGATGAGGTCACTGCTTGTTGTTATGATACAGAAAAGCCTGTGTCTATTTTAGGCATTTACTGTACATTTCTCCCGTGAAAGAGTGAGATCGTGTCATCTCATGTTCCCCATCCGCAGGTCAGTTCCTGCAGAAATATGGACTAACTTAAATCTCGTGAGTACTGAACTGAGCATCTCTTGCAGCCTGTAGTGTAAGAACCAGAGTTTGGGTTTGTAACTTAAAGAAACAGAGTAAGGGGAACCTTTATTTCTGAACTCCAGTTGTATATAATGTTCACTCAGCTGTTTCTTTCATTCAGTTTGGGGAGAGGTGGAAAACATTTTAGTCAACTGGTATAAAATTAACCTAATTTGTTTAGTAAGCTCTCTTTTTGATAATATACAGAATTTACACAGAAATTTCTGTGTAAATTTTGTAGTTATTCACAACTGCACCTAAATAGCATTGCAGTTAATTGAATTCATTGATCAGAGCCTCTTTTCCTTTAAAAACAGAGTTTAGCATTACTTATATTCATTGATTTATCAATTCAGTTTGTCTCACAAAGAAAGTCAGCACAAATAATTCCTGGGATCTTGAGATGTTTTAATTGAAACATGGGGTATATTTTCCTCTAAAAATCTTCTGATGTGTACTTGCTATTTGCCGTAGTCAGAGTTTTCAGCCAATAGTTTTCAGAATTAAATAAGTTCACAGTACAGTCCTATGCATATCTGCTCAGAAGTAAGTTTTATCTGGAAGCCTTTTTTCCTAGGATTTATAGATTTTTAGTCTCAAACCATAAATTAATTAACTGTAATTCTACATATATTTGTTATTTTTAAATGATTTAAATTCATTTTCTGCACATAAGGAAAGCATTTTGTGTGGAGTACAAATAGACTATGTAAAAAAATATTGAAACCCAACCATTTTACCCAGTAAAAGAGAATAATATACTAAGGACTAGGAGAAATTTAACATTAAATAGGAATAGCTTCACATAATTAGTATCTTTTTATTGTGAAATAAAGTTTAACTTTAAAATATATTATGCTGTTTTATGGTGTATTTCCCAAGATAGAAGTAATTGTTGTAAAATTAGAATCTAATGTTTAAACATAATAGTAAGAAAATAATTTTGTTTGCTGAATAGAAACATCCAAGTTAATTTAGAGCTCAAGTGGGGGGGAAAGTACAGTAGAGCATCAAACTTTTTTAAGGAAAGACTCATGAAAGAGGTGGAATAATAAACTTTTTAAATATTATAACACTGGGAGAGAGAGAATTTTACTGATTTATTTGAAGCATTCTAAGATAGCTTTATAAATATAAAATTAATTTAAATGCTTGCACTCAAAACAACCATGAAATTAAAAAATTTGGATGGTTGTTTTAATAGATTAATTTCAAAATTATTGGATCATTTTATTTACAGTTTTTAAGACTGGAATTTTATAAATAATACTAACACGATTGGATAGGACTTCCTTCTGAATAGACATATATAGGATTGTGCTGTTTATAATTTTTATGCTGTGAGCAACTGTAGAAATTATCTAGAAGCTTTACATATGACATTAGCAAATCAAGTTTCTACATTCTCTGGTTTGGAATGTGCAGAAAATCTTGAAAAAGATAACCCAAATACTGACTCTAAAATCCATATATCCTTTTAATTTAGGAAGAAAGTAGGATTTGTGATAGCAAGAATAGTGCTTTGCATTTCTTTCCAATAGAATAACAACAACTGGGTGGTCAGAATCTAGTAAAATTTATTCTCCCTTCTGTGTCACCTTATAAAAGTTGCATTTTATATTAATCTTGTAACTGAACAGCTATTAAAAACTGCCCTTTCAGCCTTCTGCTTTCCGTGTTTTGTGATTCTACAGTGGATGAGATAAACATTTAACTAGTAGTCTCAGCAATATCATCTTACTGGAATTTTGAATAGTTGTTATCGCTTAATAGGTCACAGTATACATATATTCACATTCCTGTAACTGATAATTTATTTTTCAATGTATGAGAATTTCTATGGCCCAGTTTGAATGCTAAATAGTAGTTGCTGGCATAAATTGTATGATATCCAACTTCTATTTCAATCAAATATGTCAAGTATTTATATAGAGGAAGAGAACTGACTGTTTAGTTAGCAACTTTTTATGTTCTGCTTGAATTTTCAATGTATAAAGTAAATTTACAGAGAATAATTTATTGATATGGTTTAATGTTATTTGCAATTTACTTTTATGGATTATATTTAGAGTTAGCTGGCCTTGTTTCAAACTGAAGGAAAAGTACCAAATGAAATTTATATGAATAGAATGGTACAAACTGAGTTTTATATGTACCTATGGTTAATAAGTTTTTAATAACAAATGTATTTTTGAAATCATGAAGAGTATTATTGGCCTTATGGACTTTTAATAATAAAATGTTGTAGATATTTATTTCTGAATTTTTACAATTAACATAGTACAAGTCAGTTTAAATCTTTTTGCTGTATATGTTGTAGTTTACCCTATTGTTGCCATGATGTTAGAAAAAGTAATTTATTTTTTAAAATGTTTGTTTAGGTTTTACTGCAATCACAGTAACTAATCCAATTTGGTTAGTAAAGACACGATTACAACTTGATGCAAGGTAAAATCTCCAATGATCTCTTGAAAAAATAAGTAGATTGGTATGTATAAAATTGGTCAAAAGTTACATTATAAAAAGTTAATGTAAGGAACCAATAAAGTTCCATCATTAACTACCCTCCTACATCTGTTTTTAAATGAGCCTGTTAACTTGCTGACACTTGAGACATCTATGTTTTTTACTTCAGTGTTTCAAAAAAAACACATACACATACATACATATATTGCATGTGCCCAAAAACATTTGTTCTGAGTATATACTTTAGATTTCTATTTCAGAGAGATTCTAGCATGTACAGTGTACACTATTTATACCTAAAGCTGTAAAATGTAACTGGGTATCATCAGACCATGGATTAGAAATATAATCTGTATGATTTAAGATATATTTCAATCCTTTTAATGAGAAACATATTTATTTTAGATATTGAAATGCTGTTGTAGGTAATTCAGAATTCTTATTTTTTATTTTGTGGGTCTATGGAACATGAATTAGCAAGAAACCTAAGGCAAATTGTTGATTGGCAATGATTTGGAGCATAGAACCTATCAATAATACATGTTATAGTGCCTTCTTAACAGTTTAAATGGCATAGAAAAAAACATTTGAGAGCAGTAATTTTAAGTCTGCAATTCAAAAAAGGTGCAGAAATAGCAACTTTTCTGCTTATGTCTTGACTAAGTGACTTTAGGTCAGCCCTTCTATATCCCAGTTCCAAACATCTTGTCACAACAATTTCAAGAACTAATCCATACAATCATTAAGAGCCAAGACCGACTTGAAGGCACACAAATAAAAAACTGGCTTTAAAGAAGGCTTTTTTAAATGAAAGAATCTTGATCCCAGATGCATCAGTCATAAGGCTTTAGCTTGTAACAATTTCATGAATAAATGAATATAGTTAAAAGAAGTTTTTCTTACATATTTGTCTGAGCATCCAGACATCTAGAACTAAGATTGAAAGGCTAGTCTTGATTAATGTCATGTCTCTATTAGTTAAAAATCTATGCAAACATGACTGAACTTTGGGCACTTGACAACATAGCTACATTTACAGCCGTTTGCAGTGTCCAGTGGTCACAAGATGGAGTTTTACAAAAGTTTTGCTGACAATTGGCACTTGCAGAGTTTTGCAAAATTATACCCATAGAGAATCTTTGGTTTGAAACAATTTGAAATAGTGAATCTTTGGTTTGCTATTGACCATAGCATTCACTCAATGTCCGCTGCAGAAAAGTCATAAAATCAGATCTGTCATGTGACCAACTCATTTTACGACATCATAAGTTAAGGACTACCTGTAAACAGTAGTTCTGGGCCTCGAGAGGAATTGAGGCTTATAGTTTTAGTTGAAATTTAATCAGGCTTAATTTAGTCAGGCTATTTGTATGTAGGTGAAAGGCTGTATTTTTTCTTTGATCATTGATAATATATAAATGGTTCCACCAAACTATGCAAATGTGAAAACTATGAAAGCTTTGGGCCACTTTGCTGCATGGAGTATGTCATGCTGATTCTTGGTAGAATGTAAACTATTTAGATTTCAAAGTAGTTTTTACTTTTGTTTTGTTTTCCATTTTAGGAATCGTGGAGAAAGACGGATGAATGCGTTTGAATGTGTACGCAAAGTTTATCAGTCAGATGGAATTAAAGGTTTTTACCGAGGAATGTCTGCCTCTTATGCAGGCATATCAGAGACTGTTATTCATTTTGTTATTTATGAGAATATTAAACAAAAAATCTTGGAATGTAATTCTGCTTCTGGGATGGATAAGGAGGATGAGCCTGTCAAAAAAGCATCTGATTTTGTTAGTATGATGGCAGCCGCAGCCACTTCCAAAACCTGTGCTACGTCTATAGCCTATCCACATGGTAAGGATCATTTGCTTAGAAAGATGGTGAACAAAAAAGATAGTATTTATCACTGTATATTGCAACAAATCATAGATTACGTTAAAGTTATTTGGGTTGTTAAATGATGACCACATTCGTCTTCTTTAAGAACATGCAGGTTGAAAGAAAAAGAAGAAACCGAATATTTTCAAACTTGGACTTATTTTATCAATTTGTATTAATGAATGATATACTCAGACAACACGTTTGTTGAATAAGTACTTTTGAATTGTATTAAAAAATCAATAAAAACTTAAATAAAATAAAATACTGTAGGGCATTTGGTGTTCTCTGAGGCTTGTTTGTTTTTTGCAGACATTTCATTGCCCAACTAGGTAGCATCATCAATGCTCGAAGGGAGACTGGCGATGTTGCTGGTTGGGTGATGAAATGTCTGCAATAAAGCAAATTTAGAGAGCACCAAAGACTCTCCAGTTTAACCCTGAAAAAAAAAACATGCAGTTTTCAGAAAACTGATGAAAATGCTAGCCAGACATTATTAATAAAAATATTCACCGCTGACATTTCTAAAACATTATAAATCCAAAACAATAAAATACAATTAATAAATCATCCAAGAAAGATACCTTAACACAGTTAAAAGTCATTATTCCAGTGTAGTGCATAGATTTAAATATATGGCCAGGACAAGAATATCTTTACCTGGTTCTGAAGAAGACAGTGTAAGTAACAGGTTTTTTTTCTTGGGAAGACCATTTCAAAGAGAGGTAGCCAAACTGAAAATGATCTCTGTCTTGTAGTCATCCATCAAAGTTTAACAAGGCATTTGAAGGAGGACCTCAAAGGGATGATCAGGTAGCCTGGGCAGAATAGCTAAAGCTATTACTTGACATACTCTTGATATATTTTAATTGCAAGTTATTCAGGGCTTTTAACATCACTACTAGAATTTGGAACTTGGCCCACAATTTGATGAAAGTATTTATGCTGATCACTTAGAAAAGTATTGTAATTAGATGAAGAAGAGAAGTACTGTATTTCTGTCAACCAATCTAAGAAAGGTGGTAGATAGATTTAATTATTTTGGACCTGATAGACCAAATTTACAATCTGTTGGTCATTACCTTACATGCTTTGCTCCTTGAGACATAACAGTATTGACTAATTTAAAGCATACTAATGTCCATGAAGCTAAACGTTGTTGAATGTGGATTGAATCAAACAGAAATGAAATTTCTGGTCTTTGCATAGTGATTGCTTATGAATATTGCTTAGAATTGGAGATTTTTGTATAAAATATATTATCAAATATGAGACTTTCTCCTTTTTCTTTAATGCAGAGGTTGTACGAACAAGACTACGAGAAGAAGGAACAAAGTACCGATCCTTTTTCCAGACCCTATCCTTGCTTTTGCAAGAAGAAGGCTATAGTTCTTTCTACCGTGGCCTAGCCACACATTTGATAAGACAAATACCGAACACAGCTATAATGATGACTACCTATGAAGTGGTAGTCTACTTGCTCAATAGACAGCAGCACTACTATCTGACGATAGGAAAGTGAAAAGACCAAAGTTTTGCAATGGACCATAGACATTCTGAATGATAGACAGCAGCTATACATATATATATATATATATATATCATCCAGGTGTATCATCCGTATATCAACTATATGCAGATATGGACAAAGTGGAAGATTGTTGATAGGCATCATTCACACTTCTGCTGGCTTATCATATGGCAGGGGTGTCAAACTGCTGGCCCACGGGTCGGATGCGTCGCCAGGAAACCGTACCCACCCCATTGCTGGCAATGGGGAAAAAGCTCCGCGACGTTACATCGCAAGTTTGACATGTCTGTCATATGGTATCTCTTGCAAGTTGTTCTTAAGGATTGCCTTTAAAATGTCATACTTCAGTTGCAATTTCCTCTTACCATGTTAGCTTTTTTACTTCTATGCAGCAAGCAGCAAGGACTTGGTGTGAGCAAGGAGGTTTTTTAGTGCAAGGTGTAAAGTTATGTTCTACAGCAGTTCGAAGGCTATGTCAGTGTAAAACAGATCCATGCTCGTATCTGAAAGTCCATTTTGCAATTGAAATAAAATGAAAGGCGAAGATTTACATTAAGCTTCCCATTTTACTACCTCAATGGGTCTCAGGAGGAAATGTAGATTCCTACATTCCTCTAAAAACAGTGGTCTTCATTTGTATAAATGGGGACAGGGCAGGAAGAACAAAATTCTAATAATTTTAACATCTAACCCTGGGGTTCAGGTGCATATTTTAATAACCTGAAGAATTTTTTGCTGTACAAATAGAAAAAGGTTTATTTCTGTTCTCCTGTATACATCTGCTAATGTATCCCAGTAGGACTTAAAGTATTTCTAGATTGTGTTATTTTGAACCAAGAATCAACCAACACTTGTAGAGTGACAAATATGTTAGTAATTCAGCGTTATGTCAGACTTCAGCAAACTTAATTCTTGTAAGAGTTACTTCACCTGAGCTGAAATCTGCATCAACTAAATGCCAAACTTTACTAGACTTCAAAAACATGTCAAAATCAAATGCTAATAGAATTAACTAACGAAATCATAATTTAATACTCTGCATTTAGGCATTCCCTTGTATTTCATTATTTGCTTAATTTCTGGTGCATTTGCAGAAATTGAAAAATGAATGTTTTTTTTTCCCCAGAAAGTATGGTCCTTAAAATTTATTTCAAGATTTACACAATATCATTTGCTATAATTTAAGAGTTGCTCTTCACTAACTCATAGAAACTATGTTGTCTTTAGCAAACACTATTCACAGTATTACAAGTAACCTCTTTTAGTGTTAGATAATTAATACAAAAATCCTACATTCATTTTTTTAACTACAGCCCTGCTGTTCCAAGCAAATTTCTGCCTGTGAATTACTGTTTTCTAATTGAATATTTTTTTATTTGGAAATTTAACTAGTGATACCAGAAAATTGTGAATTCATTTGCGGGTATTTAGTTCAGAGACAATATTCTAAAAATGTGTATCTTTAGTGCATTTGATTATTATTATTACTATTATTATTAAAGAAAATTAAATAATTATAATGGTGCAATCCTACTCTTATCTATTCAGAAGTTACAAAGAATTTAGAAAGATTTATTTCTAAGTCAGTTATTTCTAATAGAATTATAGCTTAAAGTTTATTTATGGCAACTGGCTTAAATCATGGTTAGTTATTATATATGTTTTGTTACTGAATAATGCAAAGAAGTGAAACATGGGGCATGAGGAAAGCTTAAAATTTATTTCTATAAACTATTCAAAACTAATCTTATTGCAGGCTACTTTATGATAATGCAGGGATAGTGAGGATATAGCCAACTGTCAAAATGGATTCTCCCTGGATATTCTGTAGCAGATATGCTTCCTATAAACTTGCAATATTTAGTTTGACGATTGTATTAAAATGTACCTTGTTACAAATAAATCTGCTGGATCTTTTTAGCAGGAAGCAGTTTCATTTAATGATCTTGTTATACATGTAGTACTTGGCTTACGACTACATTTGGGGCTGAAATTTTGGTTGCTAACCAATGCAATCATTAAGCAAATCTGGTTTCTCCCATTGATTTGCTTGTTGGAAGCTTGCTAGGAAGTTGCAAATCATCATCACATGACTGCAGGATGCTGCATCTGTTGTAAATGTGAGCCTATTATCAGGTGTTCAGATCATGATCACATGACTGCAGGGATGATGTGATGTAACTTCAAGGACATGTTATAAATCGGGTAGTCAACCTTGTTGTGCTGTGCTGGCTCAGGAATTCTGGGAGTTGAAGTCCACGAGTCATAAAAGAGCCAAGGTTGACTACCCCTGTTATAAATCATTATTTCAGCACCATTGTAATTTCAAACCATCAAATGAATGGTCATAAGTTGAGGATTACCTGTATTACTTCAGTAAACATAACGGATACAATCATTACTTGAAGCAACGGATTACCCAGCAACTTTTCATTTGAACACATTTCTTGCTTATAAATATTACTGACAAAGATCTTATTGATAGTAAACAATAGGCTACAAATGCTTGCTATCTTAAATGATAAAATTGAGTAATATTACTTTGTTATGAAAAAACTTCTAGAAAAACTAACTTCATATTTTTCTATTTCTACACTAAGGTAGATTCAGATAACTAAGCTCCTCTCCCTCCCATTGTGCAATCACCATTAACTCCCTGTGATAGCATTCCAGCAACAATTGTTCAAAGATAATGAATCAGAGAACTTTGGGTCAAGCTTAAAATGTAGGGTAAAATCATAATTACTTACTAATTCTACATCTGACAAGGTCTTTTAAAATGAATATTTCAAAATCATAAGCTGTTCTAGCATGCCAGCTTTATGAATCCACATTTCTGTTGTTCATTATAAAATAGTATATTTTATACTCAGTATATGATCATGCAGCATCCTGTACTTAATATCACTAAAAGGTTTACTTTCAGTTGCTTAAGGTACATGACTGCCAGATGAATAAAGTTTCTTTTAACTAACGTATCTATTTGAGTATAATGCGAAACGTTACATAAACTTCTTTTGGTAAAAATTTTATAATCTGTCTTCAAAAGATGCATTTGATTATGATAGTTATATTAAGAATTAGGGGATATGATGAACAAATTCATCCCAAGCATTTTTACTGTCACTGCCATTTCATATATGCTGTGGCATAAAGCTGTGGAATATCTAGGTTCAAAGGAGAAACGTGATTCAGTGTATGTGTATTGGCATGCATATTGTGCTTGTCAGCAATTCTTTAAACAACTCAATTGTTTCCTTACATCTTAAGGCAGTAGATATGGAATCCCAGAAAATAAATATCTATTTAATTTAAGAAGGTGCTGATAGTTGCAACTTTTTCCTTCTACATACCGATTCCTTGTAGTCTTTTTATTAGTACAGTACATGAATCTGTAGAATAAACATGAATCTGTAGAATACTTGTTTATTTTAGTCCAGTGTTTCTCAACTTCTACAGTTTTAAGATACGTCAAAATTCAACTCCCAAAATTCCCACGCCAACGTGCTGGTTGGAGAACTCTGAGCAGTGAAGTCCTTACATCTTAAAAAGTTGCTGAGATTGAGAAACACTCCCTTATTCCAAGATTAAAGGTGGTGACTTTGGGCAAAGTCGCCTTAATGAACTATCCTAACTTCAGCTTGAATTCAGATTAGGGATCTCAGGTGGGATTAGAAGAAGAAGAAAAAGAAGCAGAAATCTCATTAAATACTTGCAAAAAGCTCCCTAGATGTTATGCTCCCACCAAAGGAATGTTGATATCCAGTGTCAACTCTTGGGTTGAAATAAAAAAACAAAAAATTAAGAAACAGTGTATTACTCAACATCTTTTTGATAATTTGAAGAAAATACTATACATTTTCCATGTAGTCTTTTATGGCTTTTTGATCTTTGTATCCAGCTTTGAAATTATAAGATAAACTAATACAATTACCCCTTTTGTTCTAGCCATATACAATTTGATTAAATAATTACATAATATGAATATAATTTAATCCTCAATTGTGTGGTTATATTCCTGTATATCTTCTGGAATGAAATAATGGATTTAAAACTTCAAAAAATGAGGATTTTTCAATGTGCACAATACACTTTGGAAGTATATTCTTCTGAAGACAGATACAAACTGTAAAATAAAAAAATCAGAAGATGTCTGGTAGCACCTTTAGCTGACAAAATGCATTAAAAGGCATACATTTTTGTGATCTGTAAATGAGCTAGTTTTAATAGACCTCTGATTTTTGGCTGCCATAGATAAATACAACTCTCTTAATAAAACAAATATAACCAGAAGGTGGCGCTATGGTAATGCCAGTTTCAGAAGTGTATCTGTATACATCTATTGCTATGTAGCACAGAAACAAGCCATAGTAGATTTTGCACTTGCCAGATTTTTATTATCCTGTGTAAAACACCATTAAATCAAGGAATAACTTGTAGGTTTCTTACATAAAGTTATTTTTGAATTATAAGCAATGTTTTCTTTGAGCATACATAAATCTCAAATTTGACACTTAAAACAGCTAATGTGACTTTTTTCAGTGGGCTGGTTATCAATCTAAAATTTTATGTGAAAAGGTTATTATTTCCCCATACAATAAAAAGTTTGGGATTGCATTTGAGGTACTTAGCAATCTGCTTTATTCGTACCTAGTAGGTTTCCAGTGCTTTCCTTTCTTCTCAAAAAAGCATAAAATGCACTTATTAAAAGTTAATTTATCATTGAAATGTAGTTTTATGTCTATCTAACACTATAATTTTAGAACTGATATAAGATATTGTGACATCTCATTTTTAACTCTTTCAAATCTGTATGATATAACTGCAGCCTGTAATCTGGAGATTATTTTGTTTTCATCCGGTTTTATAAATTCTACCATCTGCAGAATACTGATGATGTGTGCCTATATATGTTTGCTACTTTAGAATTCAACTGTTTATCTTTTGATAAATACCTGAAGTCCAATTTCAGATTTGTTTTTATTTTATGTACAGAAAGCTTGCATACCCTCTATATGTGAAAGTGGTTTTTCTAGAGTTCTTCTTGTTTACAAAGT